TGACAAACATAAAAAAGAAGGAGGAGAGATCAGGACGATAGATGTCTGATAGGAAAGAAGGAGCAAACCACACCAGCGCACCCGCCAACCACCCTCTAAAGTGTTAATTGTAGGCTAAACTTGTTTTAGATTTAGTTTTGGAAAGCGTTTTGCGGTACTTGCAATTTCAATACAAATGTAGGTCATATGATACCGAAGATTAGATGTATTGCAAGAGAGTAACATACGCACAAAAAGACGAAATAAGGATAATAGAAGTTTAATAGGAAAGAAAGGCAGACCACACCAGAGCACTCACCAACCAACCATACGAGGCTAAGCCAGTGATCTGGATTATCTTTTATTGTGCAACGGTGTGTTTCAGTAACGGCTACGCCTAACAGCTACACCTGTCTTTGTCTATCCTTTTATAGCCAACGCCCACTTTTACCCCCTTTAAGAGGATGACATTTTCGTACAGCCCATCTGCATGTAGTTCCAAATGGCCATGAAATGATCATGTGGCTACCTTAGTAACTCCCTTCGTCCACCAAAACTACCAAATTGTCCTGAAGTGGCTAATACTGCTCAGGTTGCAAGCTCTGAACCAGACTTTGTTTTTCTTTTGTGTGAAAGTGACTGGAGAATTATTCCCCATTCGTAGTTTTTCCGTTGTTCGGCGTTGCTTTTATGTTTTGTTTGGGTTGGGGTTGTTTGTTTGTTTTTTTTGGGGGGGGGGGTTATTGTTTGTCTTTTTGGGGGGCCTTTCTGCAGTAATACAAAAAGGATATGGCAAATATTAAATGATCACCAGCTATAATCTTAAAGTGTTTATAGACGAGTTTAAACGATCAAAATATGACAAACTTTTCTCTGCCAGACTTGGTCTCATTGGCCATAGCGAAAGCGACAAATCATCCATAATCTTCTTATCTTTTGTTTTAAAAAATAAATAAAACAACTACTTAAGAAATTTTCTCATCCGCAAATGTTTTAGTCATCGTCAGACATCGACTGACGAACTGTTGTTATTATTCAAGTGTGATAACGGTGAAAAGAGGAAAAGGGAAATTAAAGCTCATCAGCTGTAATCTGTTACTTTTGGAAGTGTTCACTTCCGCTTCATGGGCAGCCTACGGTCGTTCAGTTTCCTCCATTTCCGTCTTACTGCTTTTTTATTATTATTATTTTTGCCGTTTCTTTTTTTATTGGTTGTTTCGTTTTAAAGTGACTTTAGGTGTAAATGAATTCTTACTGTTACTTAAGCAGAAAGAATAAGACGTTAGCTATAAATAATATATATTCTTAGTTTAGCAGAAGGAAAACTTTAGTAGTAAATAAATTCTTGATATTTTAATACAGGATCGTAACCTCGCCCAAAAAAATTCTTATTGAGAATAGAAGTTGTTTTACGCCCTCGATGAAGCAATAGAGACCATTAAGGAGGCGGGCTGCTTTGTCCCTGCCTGTCATTTGCTACCTGGAATCATATTAATAATAATAATAATAATAGTAATAATAATAATAATAATAATAATAATAACAATAATGATGATAATATTGATAATAATAATAATAATAATAATAATAATAATAATAATAATAATAATAATAATAATAACACTAATGATGATAATATTGATAATAATAATAATAATAATAATAATAATAATAATAATAATAATAATATTTATAATAATAACAACAACAACAACAATAATAATAATAATAATAATAATAATAGTAATAACAACAATAATGAAGAAGAAGAAGAAGAAGAAGAAGAAGAAGAAGAAGAAGAAGAAGAAGAAGAAGAAGAAGAAGAAGAAGAAGAAGAATGACCTCAGGGTAACTTAGACCCTTTATATTTTTTTCTCAAGTAAAAACCTCTGTGCTCCTCACAGGAAAAAACAGAACACAACGCTAAAAGACAGTTCAACTCGGTGCCTTATTCGACTACAACAGAAGACCTTCATTTTCTTTGTTCAGAATTTAACCACAGCGGGTCAATTGTATGCAATTCATTAATAACAGCTTGTCCGCTAAAGCAGAATGTGAGTGTTTTAGCGCCTATAAAATGCCAGCTTGCACTGTATGTTTCCTAGAACGTTGAGGTTATTTCAGAATGCTATCAGGTCAACTGGGATAATAAAATAGACTGTAAAGCGCTCAGAGCTTTGTAGTTGAGTGGGAATTTGCGTATACAATTGTAATTTAAAATTATGTTAATGATATTAAGTTGTGTTGAGAAAATGTGAGCTGTATGACATTAGAAAACCTATGTAGCCTACCACGACATTACTGGGCTGTTTTTGTCGCTGGTGTTCATTCTTATCAAGTGTCAGTGTTGTGGTGTTGTGGACACTATTGTAACTGAAGGGGTCAGAAAAATAAATAGTCTATTTAATAACCTTGAGGTCGTTTCCAGAAAATTACAAAGGAAAAAAAAAACAGCAAAAAAACAACAACACAAAAAACTCTAACAAACAAGAAAATAAAAAATAGCAGGGTTTAAGGTCAATGTACTACTGAGCCCAGGTGATTAATGCTGTTAAAGGCAATAATTCTGACTCATCCAGTCATTACATTCTTGTTCTGGGTTGTTAGTCTCCCCTGGCGTGTGTCGTGATCGCAGAATACTAAGACATCTCCTGGGTGCTTTCCTCTTGGTCTTTTTTTTTTTTGTATTAGTATTACTTGTTTTGCTTTCTCCAAAACACGACTCTGGCACTCTACTTTCTTGACCCTTTTATTTGCAGTTATCACCATGTTTATCGTCACCGTCTCCGTCTTGGGTACTATTCCTCATTATCAGTTGCTAGGTTTCATTATCATCTCTCCTTCTACACTTGTCTTCTTCGGGTCGCTACGTTTCATCATCATCCCTTCTCCTGCTTGCATTCTTTCATTACCATAAATATATCTTCTCCTTCTTGCCTTCTGTCGCTCTCTATGTTTCATCATCTTATCTTCTCCTGCATATCTTCTATAGCTCTCTATGTTTCATTATCACCTCTTCTCTTACATATCTTCTACAGGTCTTTATGTTTCGTCACTATATTATCTTCTCTTGCTTGACTTCTTTGGGTCTCTGTTTCATCATCATCTCTTCTCCTTCTCCTTCTACAGGTCACTATGTTTCATCATCATCATCATATTAGTATCTTCTCCTGCTTGCCTTCTGTGGGGCTCTATGTTTCATTATCATAATTTCTTCTACTTCTACTTCTTGCCTTCTCCTGGTCGTTGATTGCCCTCATCATCCTCGTTTCTCCTGCTTGTGTGCTACGGGTCGTTTTCCTTTTTTTATTTTTATTTTTATTTTTTATTTATTTTATTTTTTTGGATCAACATCTTCATCATCGTGTTTACTGTCTATGTTGACACACCCAGTGTTTGTGTCGTCTTTTTCGTCTTTGTTTTACATGACAACCCTGTTCTTTTGTTGATAGTTGATTAAAGTCTGGTCATCGTCAGACACTGATGTACAAACTGTTATTTCTGGTGTTAGGAAATACTGCAACGGGTCATCATTCTGTAGAGCAGTGTTATGCAAAGGTGTGGCCCACCATCTGTTGTCTCGCCTATAAAGTACAAACTGACAGAACTTTACCTTACTTTTCCGATCCAACGGTCATCTGGGTTCTAGCCTTTCGGCCTGTCGATATGACCAAAAAATTTACAGGTTTTTGTCAGCTGTGTTTTGTCGCTGTATAAAGTATTTCCTATGTCTGAGGAGACATGTAGCCGAGATAGGTGCTACGCAGGTCCCTAAGTGCAGGGCAGGTAAAGAGATAGTGTGAAACTGTTTCAACCTGACTTTCACACAGCGGGCAGTAGGTTAGGGAATCCATGCGGATCAGGTACAATTTTAGAATCTGGGTCCCGGATCCTATTTAGGTAGGAATTCAGTGGGATGTGCTGTGTTCGCAGGCGAAAGATCGTGACTTGTTCTCTTCTACCCAGGGAATTTAGTGCAACAAACGGACAGAAAGGAACACGGGGTTGTTGGGCAGGTGCTCTGGTGTGGTTTGCTCCTTCTTTCCTATCTAACATCTATCGTCTTTAACCCTCCTCCTTTTGTTACTTTTTTTTAAAGTAAAATCTGGAATCTTCGGTACTTGTACTGTACGATCTTATCGTGTCGTAAGTGCCATACAACTTTTACTAAAACTAAAACCATGAAAGGAACATCTCTCCCTTTTTTTCTTTCAGAAAATACCAGACCAGACATACCGAGTGAGTGCGACAAAGAGGGTAGCTAGCTATACGCCTGCACGGTTACATCATCCTCAGGATTTGATCGACAACCCTCACCAACAAGACTACTAACTTGGCTGGCTACTAACACAGAGATAAACAACCATAATTATACACAAGTCACTCTCTTGTGAACTGCTATTTCCGGGGTGCCTTGATAGTCGAAGCAGACATTGTGCTGTTTAGGCATGAGAGGTGAGCAGAGTAAGCCTAATTCCTCGTTTGGACTTTTCTGTTGACATCCACCCCTTGGCGCTCATATAATCGTATACAGTTGCGCGCAGAGTAAAAACAAGACTATAACTTTTTTTTAAACAATAGTGTTCTCACAGTTGCCCGTTTCGTTACCCTTGACAAGGTCTTAGAGAAACAGTGTACAGTGTGGTGCGAATGTGATACAGTTTCAGGTCGAGTCTTGCGCTGTGATACTCTAGTCTACGTTGTACTGTGTTAAAGGACTAAAAACCTGTGCAAAGCCATCAACTCCACTACTACCATCACAACAGCAACAACAACAGCAACAACAACAGCAACAACAACAACAACAACAACAACAACACAACCACCACCACCACCAACAACAACAATAACAACAACAACAACAACAACAACAATTTTAAGAAATAATAATACCAACATACCCAACAGTACCACCACTACCACCAAAAAGAGAAACAACAGCAATTACAACAACAACATCAATAATAACAACAGCACCAACGATTAACACAACAAACAACAACAATAACAACAACAACAACAACAGCATGGGACCGCAATAATGGATTATATCCTACAGTTAAATCGCAGGTAACGTGTGACTTGTCATGGGAGATTCTTCACATCAAAATGCGGAACAAGCTCAGGGCAGAAACGAGAACGCTTTACAGCAACAAAATACGGCCCCGCAGTTTGATGAGGAATATTTGAGACAAGGTCAGTTCGGTTTAGGAAACTGGCGACCTCGTTCTCTCCAACGTTTCGCTTCGCTATGGGGGTTTGTGGGTTTGTACAGCCCCTGTGCCCTTTGGCTCGTCACAGTCATTCAATACACACGCACACAAATCACCTCCATCGAGCGCCATTTCAAAATCAACAGCTTCAAATCCGGACTTCTCATGAGCTCCATAGATGTAGGCAGTATCTGCTTCGTGGTTCTAGGCAGCCATTTCGGGAAGTTCTGCCACATACCTCGTCTACTCTCCATTTCCGCCGCCGTGGCAGGCGTCGCCGTGATGTCTATCTCTCTGGTTCAGGCTTACACGCCGCGGACTTTGCCTACTTCAGATGACCACCCGCGTCTTTCCTCCAACTGGGACGAGTCCCCTACCAAAAGAATCAGATATCTGTGTTGGAACTGGACGCTTTACGCTGCGTTCTCCGGTGTGGAAGAAGAGAATATATCCGTGCCCAACGTGACGTCACCAGAGTTCCTGGCCGGATATCATCGTTTTCTCTCCGACGACGATTTTGACGACGACGACGGAGAGACGATGCCGTGGACGTATTTCTGGATGATGATCTTCATGTTCATTGCGGGCGCCGTCATGTCGTACAAGATCCCGCTACAGACTTACTATGTGGAGCAAAACGTCAAGGAGAAGAACCAGTCGGGGATTTATATGGGTACGTATATGGTGCATCGTGTGTGTGTG